CTCCACAATCCTCAGATCTCAGCCTCCATTTATTTGTTTATTAATTTATCTTTAAGTAGGTATAAAAAGGGGGTCTCAATGCAACAAATCAGTTTGTGAGTAGGACCGGTCTTGACCCACTTTTCTCCCTCATCTCTCCCAACCCTGTCCACCCTTCAAGGTACCTGGATCTATTTTCACATATGTACGCTGGTTATTATGACTGCCTCCTCCCCCCACCTCTCCCCATTTGTCGGCTCCCCCTTTCCTTTATTCCTGCTCCCCCCAAAACACAAGTACTAGCTTCCTGGTTTTCACTTCTCTCTCTCTCTCTCTCTCTCTCTGTCTTTCTTTTGCTGGACTTAGGGCTTGAACTCAGGCCTGGGCTCTGTCCCTGAGCTTCTTTTGTTCAAGGCTAGCCCTCTACCGCTTGAGCCACAGTGTCATGGCTCTTTCTGTGTGTGTGGTGCTGAGGAATGGAACCCAGGGCTTCATGCATGCTAAGCAAGCACTCTACCCCAAGCCACATTCCCAGCCCCTCACTTTCTTAACCGTTGTTAGCTATTGTACCACTGCAGTTCATACTTTCTATCATATTTTAATATATGATATTGTCTGTTTTCATATTTGTTTATAAATTTAGAACTAACCTCCACCTATGAGAGAAAACACGTGTCTGTTGCTTTTCTGAGCCCAGATCTCAGCCTCCTTTAGTATCTGGAATTGCAGGCATGAGCCATGACACCCGGCTTACATACACATTTGTATTCTTTTTTTGGTCGTGGGGTTTGAACTCTGGGCCTGGGCACTGTCCCTCAGTTCTTCAGCTCAAGGCAAGTACTCTAGCCCTTGAGCCACAGCACCACTTCTGGCTTTCTGGTGGTTAATTGGAGCTAGGAGTCTCACAGACTTTCCTGTCTGGGCTGGCTTTGAACTGTGATCCTCAGATCTCAGCCAGCCTCCTGAGTAGTTAGGATTACAGGTGTGAGCCACCAGCGCCCGGCTCACGTTTATATTCTTTTTTTCTTCTTCTTACATTTGTATTCTTTATAGAAGGAAAGAGAAGTGGGTGACACAGGCAAGGCCCTGCAACTCATGGTGGTGCTCACAGATCCAAGAAGCCAAGCTAGGAACTGGAGATACCCAGCATGGCTTGTTGCCTGCTCAGTGCTTACCTTTGACCTTCCTGAAGTCAATGCTTTCCTCCATGAAGAATGTGCTAGAGAACTGTCATGACCTACAGCCACCCGACTGCCTACAGCCACCAGTCTCTGAGGACTGTCACTAGCACAGAGCAACCACTCATCAGCACAGCCCACAGAAACTGCACGATCCTGGAAGGCACCACACCGACCTCATGGCCTTTGCACTGGCTGGCCCTGTGACCTGGAAGTGGGCATTCCCACCTGGGCTGTCCTTGCTCTCCGTTTAGCCCTCCTGGGAAGCAGTGCATCCGGCTTGCCTGCCCACCCCTGTACCTGAGCGGGCTTTCTCTCTCTCCATGGCATCCATCCCTTTCCCTTCCCCCGCATCAGGGCTGTTTAGGGAGCAGCTGGAGTGGGCCTGAATTCCCGGGTCAGACAGGTCTGAGTCATGTCTGTATTCCCAGTGCTTGGCACCAGGCCTGGCCCAGGGGCTCCGTGGGTGTCTGTAGAGTTGACTAAATGAGTATCTGCCAGGCAGTGGTCACGGCTGCATCCTGGGCAGCCACGGACACGCCTGGAAGGTTCCTTTCAAAGATGCAGGTTGGAATTTGTGCTGGTGACGCATCTTCCAACCCCACCCAGCTCTTCCCAGGCCCATCTGACAAGGGTAACTTAGCCCCAAAAGGATCTTGAGACATCTTCTTACAAGGCCTGTTGACACACAAGGAAACTGAGTCCCAGTGGGGAAGTCTGTCCAGAGAGCCAGCTACATGGCAGATAGCCTAGGTGTCGCTAAACCACTACAGTACTTCCCTAACGTGTACAGTATTTTCTATGTTAAAACTTGCAGCCTAGCACCGGTGGCTCATGCTCCTAATCCCAGCTACTCAGGAGGCCAAGATCTGAGAATCTTGGTTCAAAGCAAGTCTGGACAGGAAGTGCAACTCCTATCTCCAGTTAACTACCCAAAACAAAACAAAACAGAATTGGAGCTGTGGCTGAAGTGGTAGAGCGCTAGCCTTGAGCTAAACAGCTCAGGGACGATGCCCAGGCCCTGAGTTCAAGCCCCAGAATCACCACAAAACAAGCATCGTTACATACTGCAACAAAAGCACAATCACAACAAATAAATAAATGAAACATCCTGTGCTTCACACGGCACCAATGATAACGGTCCCATTTTCAGGATATGTAAAGGACTCTTACTGCTTAATGATGAAAGGAACATAGCCTAATTGAAAGGGAGAAGCTGGGCACTAGTGTCCCATGCCTGTAATCCAATCAATCTGCTGAGGACTCTATGTCTAAAATAACCAGCTAAATGCCAGACTGGAGGCTTGGCTCAAGTGGTAAGAACCAGCTAAGAAGTCTGAGAGACACTGTTGACAATTAACCAGCAAAAAGCTGTACCCAAGGCATGTCCCAAGTGATATACAGTGCTAGCCAGGTAAGAAAGTAAAGCAAGAGCTGCTGTGGAAACCAGCTATACATAGGTAAACTCAGCTGTCATCAGGAGACAGACTCTCCAAGAAGTCAAAACACATGCAACGTTCAAAGTGGCGCTGTTCCTTACTGACAACGTTCAAAGTGGCGCTATTCCTTACTGAAAAATGGTGACAGCCACCCAAATGTCCATGGGTGGATGCATGTATGGAGAAGAGAGGCAGGGTTCACATATACAATGGAATACTACTCAGCAGTGAAACGGAGCAAAGCTCCAGCACCTGCTGCAGTATGGATGAACCATCAAAGTACCACACGGAAGGAAACCAGCCAGCCATGTAGCACTCTCTGGAGCTGAAAGGAGAAGAATGATTGTTGGGTGCTGGGGCATGGGGGCAAATTTTTAAGAGATTTTTCTTTCTGGAATAATGAAAAGCTGTCTGTGGCCTGATGCATACACAACTCCATTGCCTTAGCACTGGCAGGTCTGGAAATTCTCCCAAATGCTGAGACTACAGATGTGCATGACCATGCCCGGCAAAGTTGGTTGTGTTTTGATTTCTGCTAAAACAAGTGACCACGAACATCTCAGATGGTCTCCCTGTGTCTTGTCCATCACATTTTGCGTCCCCCACCAAGGCGCTGCCCCTCTGAATCCCCCTTTTCCATTCACACCCACTGAGACCCCAGGGGTAAAATCCTGTGTCCATCTAATTAATTGATGATGCTGTACTGAGAATTTAGTATGAGCCCACTGGAGAAAGTCCCTTCTTCAAGAGAACTGTTAATTATAGATTTTTAATTTCTTAATGTAAATGGTCATGAACCACAGCCGTTTATAATTCAAACCACAGCCACCTGGGAGTAAGAATCTGTGGGCAGTAACCCAGGCCTTGAGCCCAGGCTGAGATGACCAGGACCCTCAGTTAGTAGACCCTAATCCATGACAGACAGGGGTCTGGGTTGGCAGAGGGGAGTCCCAGGTACCCAGAAATGCCTGGACCCAACGGGGTAGAAACAGCCAGAAGTCACAGCTAAAGGAGGGGGTGGGGTGAGGGCAGTGGGCCACACCCAGTCAGCTGGGGCCTCCATTGGAATCCAGAGCCTGGCTATTACTAGGCACATTCTCTACGGCTTGGGCCACGCCCCTTGCCACACCCCTCTCTCCCAGGCTGGCCTCAGCACGCCTTGCTGCTGCTCTACCTCTCACTTCTGTCAACATATCCTTTGCCTTCCTGGGCCTTAGTTTCCCCACCTGCTGCAGAATCTCAGCCCTGTTTCCATACCTACATCCTGAACTGTCCTCCACCTCCCGATCAGTCCCCCCTGGAATCCTAAACACTCCACTTGTGTCCAGGGACTCCTCTCAGGCCTGGCCCCAGAAAAGCTGGGAGAGGGGAAGGTCTCGATCCCACTACCCAAGGGATCCGGGCACCTGGCGTCACCAGAGGCAGGTCACCTGAGCTCTGAGCTCAGCCCACAAAGGGATGGGTTGGGGAGTGGGGGGGGGGGCGGGGGGAGGGGCGCTGTGTGCGTCTACTGGACTTCTTGTCTTGCCCAGGGCCATGATCCCAACTTCCTGCCTGTGGGATTAAAATGACCCTCAGCACAGAGCCCACTGCACCCTGTGGCTGGCTGAGGAGGCTGCCGGGGTGACACAGGTCGGTCCTGCGCCCCCAGAAGAAGCCTGGGGGACCCAGCAGGGTGGAGATGAGGCCTGGAGTTTTGGGCAGCTGTCTGCAGATCCTGGCAGACAGCTGCTGGTCCAGTCCCGACCCTTCCCTCCGTGGCCTCAAGTAACATCCAGAGAGCCAGGGCCCTAGGAGGGTCTCTGTGAAGGGCTAGGATCCCTCACAGATGCTCCTGGACCAGCTCCACTCTGCCCTCTGGGACATCCCCAGAGGACCCCCACCCACGCTGCGCCCCCTCTGGTGGCATCTAGCAATGCACCTTCACCCTGACTCTCCACACAGGACAGACAGAGCCCAGGCTCAGAGGACAGACCCACAGGTGCCCCCCCCCCCAACACACACCTGCCCTGCCATAGTGAACGGCCAATACTGCACCCAGCTTAATTCAACTCCAGTTCCTTTAAATCTTGGACGCTGAAAACCATACAGACAGATGTGATCCAACGAGCTGACTGCAGGCCCCTCCTGTATGGAACCCTTTCACCCACACCCTGCAGCGGGCCGCAGACCCCATTCAGCCCGGTAGCCTCCTGGCTTAACTTCATGGACCGTCAGGTTCCACACCTGGACTCCCCCCGGGGGGGAGGGGTAAACACAGCATTAAGGTGGGGAATGGTATCAGGCCAGCCACTTGCCACCCACAAATCACCTCTCATGGGAGGAGACACCGCCTTTCCTGTCAGGGCCTCTATCCTGTACCTGGACCCCCAGTCACCCCACACCCAGCACTGCCCACACTTACTTCATGGGCTTGAATAGCGCCTGCCCGTAATTCTGGAACGTCATAATTAGCTTCAGCTGTGTGCCCCCTGACTTCATAGCTGCAAGAGAGAGAGAGAGAGATTTTTCTTTGGGGGAGGGGACTCTTAGCAATGCCTCCCCCCCACACCCCGCATTGGTCCCCATCCTGTTGTCACAGCAGTTAGAATGGCAGGGTGAACCCACGGAGAAAGGGGGAAGAGGCAGGCGCACACACGCGTGCGTGCACATGTGAACACATGTGCTCACCCCTCCCCCCACACCCAGTGCCCACAAGGGGCCGGGACCCGACCCAGGAAACAGCGGAAGGAAGACCCAGACGGTGGGCTGGGTGCCTAGAAAGACAGAGTTCTCCCCAGAGCTGGTTCTGGGGTTCACAGGAGGAAGCTGAACAGAGTTCCAGAAAGATCCTAGGCCTAAGCACCTCTTGTCAGGATATGATAAATGATGGAAGCTTCCAGAAAGCATATGACTCCAGCCCCTTGCCAGCCAAGAAGGCTGAAGAGCTTCCTAAAAGGACATCTCTTTTTTTTTTTTTTGACTGTTTCTTTTCTTTTCTTTGTGGCATCAGAGTGTGAACTCAGGGCCTCATACTTGCTGGACTTAATTGCTGGGCTGGCACTCTACCTCTCCAGTCACGCCTCCAGCCCAATTCTTTTGAGTTATTCTTTTTGAGATAGCATCTCAAAGTTTTCTGCCCGGGCTATCTTTAAACTGTGATCCTGTGGATCTCAGCCTCTTGAATACTAGGATTACTTCACGGTGCAGCCATCAGCGCTGGCTTGGATCTTCCTTTCTGCCAATGGAGGGTTGCCCACCCCAACAGGGACACAGCAAGGTGCAGAGATTTGGAGGGGGCAGGCCCAAGCCAGCCGAGGCCAGGCACACCGGCATGGAGTGACGGCTGTGCATAGATGAACACAGCTGGGTCCCCAAGTACCAACCTAGATGGCTGAGCACTGAAATTGAAAGCCAGAAGTGGGGGGCACTGGGCAGGTGCAGGAGCACCCAGTGATGGCAGCTAGGATGAGGTGGACATGGCAGAGACCAGGGAACACCTGGCAGAGTGCTGTGGGCTGTGGAGGATGGAGGGACTGGGACCACCCTTGAGTGACAGCTGGAGATGCTGGTTGCCAAGGGAACAGTAGCTAGGAGACGAAATGAGATGCACTGAGGCCTTGGGGTGATGACTGCCAGGTGTGCAGGTAGGCCTGAGGTGCTAAGGCCATCCCATATTTAGGATAAGCTTGGAGTGCAGGTCCCATGGCGGGGGGGGGGGGGGTGGGGGGGGGGAAGGGAGACAGTGTTGAGTGTGGAGAACGAGGGCTGGACCAGGAGCTGGCAGAGTGGTCTGGGGGTCACTAGGATCCCCCCCAAAGAAGGCTTAAGATATTAGGGGGCAAGGAAAGGGAACGTGTGTGTTGTTCCTGTCTGGGTGGCAGGGGCCTGAAGTGTGTGCAAAAGGGGAGGCCATAGCCTGAGGGGATGGGGGAAGATGGAGGACCTGGAGGGGTTAATTTGTAGATATGAAGAAATATGGATGTAGGGGAGGGTCCCCCCTAGTCTGACCAGTTTCCTAAAGCCAGCACTCTAGAGAGAGGGGGGAGGAGAGGTCTTCACCTTTCCTGCCTCAGTTTCCCCTTTTGTAAAATGGGACTCAGGATGCTTGTTTGGCCTCTTTCACAAGGCTGGGGTGGTGGTCAGAATCAAAGGAAGGGTAGAGGAGTTTCTGGGGTGCCAGCACCTTAGACTGCTCCCTGGCGTTCTGCAATGTCTTGCTAATGGAACTTGCAGATTCCTACAACACAGGATGAGACAGAGGCCTGGTGCTGGGGGTGCGTGGCCAGGGGCTGGTGGGGAGCACCACACGAGGGGAGGTGGGGCTGCCTTTCACCTTCCCCACAGATCAACCAAGAGCCAGGGACCTGGTGGCTCACACCTGTGCAATCCCAGCTACTCAGGAGGCTGAGATCTGAGGACAGCGGGTTAAAGCCAGCCTGGACAGGAAAGTCTGTAAGACTCTTATACCAGTAAACCACTAAGAAGCCAGAAGTGAAGCAGTGGCTCAAGTGGTAGAGTTAGCCTTGAGAGGAAAAGCTAAGGGACAGCACCCAGGTCCTGAGTTCAAGCCCCAGGACCAGCACCAAAAAAGAAAAAAGGGAGTGGGGGCCTTTGGAGGCCGTGATTCAACCATTAAGAAACAGCTTTAGGAAACGTTTCTACTTCAGGAGCCATGTCTTCTAAAAAAAGCAGGAATGCAGAGCACACACTTTTTCAAACTGGGGTGCGCAGACAGGCACCCAGAGCCCTCACTTACTTCTCTGGAGAAAACCTGAAGATGACTTTCATTCTCTACTTTCCTTCATTGGAACTTTCTAGATTTCTGCAATGAACACTTAGTACACGTAGGGGTAAGATGATTGAGTCTGTTCAACTCTATTGGCTGGTCCTGTTTGTGTTTGGTAAATGGGGAGGGGAGTGTCTCTTGGTTTTAATTATTCCTTACTGGGTGGGTCTTGGGAACATCACATTAATGACTATTAATTCTGATTCTAAAATAACAAAATATTCAAATCCTGTAATTTTCTATGGGTGGTACTGGGCCTTGTGTTTCCTAGATAGGCTTTTACACTTAATTTTTTCAGATAGTGTTGTATGCTTTTCTTTCCTTTTTTTGGGGGGGGGAGGGGAGGTAGAGGGTGCCCGGGGCCAACCTCAGCTTGCAATCCTCCTACGATGCCTCCTGCAGAATTATAGAAAGCATCACCAAGCCCAGCTTATTAGTTGAGATGGGGGGGGGGGTCAGTCTGGCCTTATATCATAATACTCCTCATCTCTGCCTCCTGAATATCAGGGATTACAGTCATGAGCCACCATGAGCCTGGTAGTTCAATCATTCTTGTTTTAAGTAGATTCCCACTGTTTCTCTGACCCTCCCCATGGGGCAAACAATTGATCAGGTATTACCAGGCAGAGCTGGGCACCAGCTGCTCCTGTCTATAATCCTAGCTATTTTAGATGCTGAGATGTGAGGCCCAGGAAGACAACTCTGAGAGACTCTTATCTTCAATTGACCAGAAAAAAAAAAAAAGCTAGAAGTGGCTAAAGTAGTAGAATCCCAACTCTGTGTGGAAAAAGCCAAGCCAGAGCACAAGGCCCTGAGTTCAAATCCCTGTACAGTCACAAAACAAACCAACAAATGATGTTACAACAGCCTCATGGAAGTGCTGTACCTCAAACACATCTTGGGTGACTGTACCTCCCACCTTCTAAACCACGTGCATCTGTAGCGATCCCCCAAAGCATCATACCATCATCCAAACCAGACCCCGCTGGGTCTCCACAGTAAGGTCCCCTCCCACTTACCAACCCCCTGTCTCCAGAACCACCCAGACATGGGCTAATACAGGCTGTTAATTAACACTGACTGTTTTTTTTTTTTTTTTTAATTTTGTTTTGTTTTGTTTGTTTTTCTTTGCCGGTCATGGGGTCTGAACTCTGGGCCTGGGCACTGTCCCTCAGCTCTTCAGCTCAAGGCTAGCACCCTACCACTTGAGCCACAGCACCACCTCTGGCTTTTTCTGTTTATGTGGTGCTGAGGAATGGAACCCAGGGCCTCATGCACGCAAGGCAAGCGCTCTACCACTAAGCCACCTTCCCAGCCCCACACTGACTGCATTTTGAAGTTTATTGCCATACTTTATAACAATAGAGTGATCTTTTTATCTCATAACCCCACTGCCATCTTTACCTCATAATCCCCTGGACTTTTCCCATCCTTGTCCCCCAAAACACAGCACAAAGTGAGGAACTATTTCATATATCATAAAGAGCCTTGGGAGGCTTCTAGAATGCTCTGGCAACCTACCAGGACTCTTAGAAAGCAAAGGACATGTGGGAGGAGAGATGAGCATTTGAAGGAGCATGATGTGGGCAGGGCTAGGGTTCTTGCCCAGCTGTGGGGAGGGAGGATGAGGAGGCCACAGAACAGGACAGGCATTTCATGCAAACCAATTCATTTTTTTAAGACTGTGGGCTAGCCAGCCACTGGTGGCTCAAGCCTGTAATCCTAGCTACTCAGGAGGTTAAGATCATCAGAGAGAATCTTATTCTCAATTTACTAGAAAAAAGCTGGCAGTGGAGCTGTGGCCCAAGTGGTAGAGAGCTAGCCTTAAGTGAAAACCTAAGGGACAGCACCAGGTCCTGAGTTCAAGTCCTAGTACCAACACCACACACACACACACACACACACACACACACACACACACACACACACAACCAGTGGGCCTTGTACAGTACTGTCTTGCCCATGAGTGTAGAGATAGTCTTTGGGAAAATATTTTGGTAGTACTTAGATTTGAACTTAGTAGTTTCATGTTTTGGAACTATGTCCCCAGATCTTGTTTTGCTTTTATTTTTCAGATCAGATCATGTGTGTGTGTGTGTGTGTGTGTGTGTGTGTGTGTGTGTTGTGTGTGTGTGTGTGTATGTGTGGCATAGGTCCACAATCCCACAATCCTCCTACCTTTCTATCCTGAGTAGTTGGGATTATAGGTGTGTGCTATCATACTCAGCCTCTGTTGTTTTTTGCTTTTTAAGGGTCAGAGTGAAGATTGTTCAGGGAGATTAATAGGAACAGATGTTTGTGCTGGAGTGGAAGGTTTCCCTTGGGGAGGAAATCACATTTGGAGAATGTCACACCAGGTTCTTGTCCACCCACTCAACCAGTCCCCTGGGCTGGAATTTGGCCAGGTGACTAAGACACACACATAGTCCCTGACCTGCAGCTCATAGAATAGGGCATGGGGTGTGTCCATCTGTCAGTGGCCCACACCCAGGGGGCTGGCCCCCTGGAGCCTGGAACTGTAGCACCTGCACTGATGTGAGAATCTGGGTGGTAGCCACTGTCTGCTCCAGATAAATGAGGAGAGGGTCTTCCACCCCCAACCTGCTGTGAGGGCCTCCAGCCCTGTGGGTGGAGGGACAGAAACAGCTTTGGCCTCACCTGCCTCCCTCCTGGGGTTATTTATGTCCTGGCCTACCAGGCAGCTCACTTTTATTTTGAGAGCTGCAGTCACCAGATGCTCCCCGCACAGCTCGGCTCTGGTAGAGCCGTGTCACCCCTGCAGTGAGAACAGAACCATCAGCCCTTTCCTGGAGGTGCATTCCGAGTGTCCCAAATCACAGCTGCCTTGAAACATCTGTGCCTGATCTCCCATCCGATGGCAGGGGCTGAGCCACCGACTGCCTTGTCCTGACACCTGCAGCCAGCGTGGGCTGGGGGTCCTGGAGGGAAGATCTTCAGACTTGGGCGGGCCCTTTGGGGTGGTCCAGCATTTGGGTCTCTTCAGGTCTTTCTCTCTGCCTGGGCCTAGGAGGTGCCGTCCAGGTAAGAGGGAGAGAGGGAGGGAAGGGCCTGTTCTAGCTACTGTCTGCTCCAAGTAATAAGATGGGGCACCATGCCCCATCCCCTGGCACCACCTCCCTGGGCTGCCCCTAGCCCAGGACTCTTTATTCCTTGGAAGGTTCCTGGCTAAGTATCCTAGATTCCAGCCTGGTTCGTTCTTCTGTCTGGTGGAGCCCCCCTTTCCCACCACCACCCACCTCAGCTCCCTTTGTTCGACGTTCTCTCAGACAGGCTTTCCTCCTGACCTGAAGGAAACAATTCTGAGTTCTGACCCTCTGGCCAGAAGCTGTACCATCTATCTCTCCCGGCCCACCACAGTGAGATTTCTTTTTCTTCTGGTTCAAAGTAAATTCCACAGTGCCGAGCCCCTAATTGTATCATTTATTCCTTCACATCCTTAATTGTATATGATAGTGGTGGAATTCTCACCGGCTCTAGCGGAAGCCACTGTCAGGCCTGACTTCAAGCTGGGCAGAGGTGGAGAGAATGTGGAGCCTCTTTAAAGACGGCAGAGGCCGGTTACCAGGCAGGCTGCAGCCCGGCTATAAATAAATCTCTGTTACAGAAGCCAGCTGTGCTGTAGGCCACACAGAGCCTCATGAATTGGATCAAGTGGTTCTGAACAGGGGAGATTTAATGGAACGAGAGAGAGAGAGAGAGAGAGAGAGAGAGAGAGAGAGAGAGAGAGAGGAAGAAGGAGGAAAAGGAGGAGGAGGCGGTGGCTCAGAATCTCTTGGGTTACATTACTACATTTCCAGGCTCAGGTTTAATATTGAGATGAATAACTTGAAGATTAAAGTCTTCATCCATGGGCCAGAAGCAAAGAAGTGGTACCCTAGGGGCAAATCTCCTCTCTCCTGGGACCTCAGTTTATTCAGTTGAAAGGCAAGGTTGGCCTTCAAAGGTTTCACCCTGTGCTGGATTTGGGCAATAGGCAGACTTTGTCAAGAGAGGTGCTGGTGTGGTGCCCCAATACTCCAGCTGAGTATGGATGAAGACCCTACCAGGGTCAGGTGTGTGTGTGTGTGTGTGTGTGTGTGTGTGTGTGTGTGTGTGTGTTGCTAGTACCAGGGCTTGAGCTCATAGCCTGGGTGCTGTCCCTTAGCTTTTTCACTCAAGGTTGGCACTCTACCACTTGAGCCACAGCCCCACTTCTGGCTTTACGGCAGTTTACTGGAGATGAGAATCTCATGGACTTCCCTGCCTGGGCTGGCTTTGCACCGTGATCCTCAGATCTCAGCCTCCCAAATTGCCAGGATTATAGGCATAAGCCATCAGTGACAGGCCAGAGGCAGTTGCTTTTTATGCATCCATCCAAGGCCTTTGCCTGGGTCTTCAAACCCACAGATCTACTGTCCAGTTTCCTCAGGCTGAGTCAGTCAGCCCAGGCAGCTAGGAAGGGGGACACTGGCACGCAGCCACCTCCAAGATAGAGTGCATTCTCTGAAGACACCGGTGTGGCTGGGGGCCAGCCCTGCAGAGCAGGATGGCTGGGTCCGGGTACCTGGCACTGCTGCTGTGGTCTGCTATGCCTATGGGGTCTCTCTCTTGCTTCCTTAGGTAGGAAGGGTTTCCATGAATGTAATCTCCATTCTGGGGTCACCAGGCCCCAGAGCAGCAGGGTGAGGCAAAGCCCTGGGAAGAATGAGACACCTGCTGAGGCCTGGCTCCCCGGATTAGGGGGCTCAGCCTGCCCCGAAATGCAGGTGCCACGTGGAGACTACCTGGCAGGTTCTGCCCTCACCCCTCAGGCGTATTTATTCAATGAAGGATCTGGGGCTCCCTTTGGCAGGGGTCATGGGGGCATCTCTTCATACCCGGCAGTATTTGGGAGTTCACCCTGTGCACATGCATTGCCCTAGCGAGGAGGGCCAGAGCCAGTAACAGGCACCCGGAGACATCTACGTGGGCCAAGATTTGCTGTTGTGTGAGATTGGGTTACTGGTGGGTAGCAGGTAGAGATTAGATTATCATTGTTCCTTCTACAGGTCACTGCCAGAGATCTAGGGGACGGCACTGGTTTGCCTGAAGTCACCTTGACCAGCAGCTGGGTAGAGCTGGCATGGCTTCCAACTCTCTATGTCCTTCCTTGGGGGGGGGGGTGTGGACAGCCTGTCTAAAAATCCACTTTCCAACACCTACTAGGAATCTGCATAAGGAAGGAACCCCGCCTGTGTGGGGATGGGCCCCTACCCAGGAGGGGAGGGGTTAGAACCAGGGGACCACGACAGTCAAGGGATGAGCGTGACATCTACTCAGGCAGAGATGGGTACAGAGATGGAGGCTCAGACAGAGTTGGGGTTTTACAGCAATAGATAAGGAGCGCTGTCCATTGTGCTGTGCTGTCAAGTACCCACTACCCTCCCCAGAGCGTCAGGTCCAATGGAGGCCCCAAATCCAGGCCTGTCAAGAGGGGCAAGAGGACCCCTCAGGTGGGCCAGTGAAGTCCTGGAGGTCCCTGGCCTCTTCCTGCTTTCTGATCTCCTGAGACAGATCCCCACACCTCTCACCCAGTGGGTGCCAAGGGCTGCAGGGCTCACCAGGAGCCAACTGACCTTGGGGATCACACAGCTTTTTCCCACTCTAGCCTGCCTCTGTACACATCTGAGGCCACCCACCTCTTTCTCAAAGTGCCTGCGACGCAGAAAGTGCCCGTCAAAATCTGCTGGAAAAAAATCACTAAGTCTCACGTCCTTGGTAAGGTATTTCTTTGGGAGCCACATCTACACAGTTGAGAGTGAAAGGGGAGCTGACACTGGTGGCTCACGCCTGTCATCCTAGCTACTCAGGAGGCTGAGATCTGAGGATCACAGTTCGAAGCCAGCCTGGGCAGGAAAGTCTGTAAGACTCCTATCTCCAACTAACCAGCAAAAAACACTCTGAAAGTAGAGCTATGGCTCAAGTGGTAGAGTGCCATCCACGAGTAAAAAAGCTAAAGAACCTGCTGTGAAGTCAGGCTCCGAGTTCAATCCCCAATACTAGCATGCTTGCATGCACACATACATGTACACACACACACGTGTGCGTGCACACACAGTATGAGGGCTATCCTACTGGGACTGTCTGTGATACAGTCCCCACATCCACAAGAATTTTTCCCTCTTAGCCCAGAGCTTCTGATCTTCCTTCCAGGGACAGGACAGGACCTGGGGTTGGCAGCATTGAGATTCCTCCTGCCATGGTGAGAGGAAGACAACTTTCAGCCCATATGGAGCTGATAGAGCCAGGGGGGGTGGGGGTGGGGGCAGGGAGCTGCCGGTCTTAACTTCCTCAGCCTAGTGACCTCCTGTAAATAGCTCAGCTGAACCACAAACGCCTTGAAAGAGACACTTCAGGCCACTTCTAAGCACTCTGTATCAGCAACTGGACCGAAGCCTGTGACAGGAGGGACCTTCTGTGCAGAACCTGGATGCAGACACCCGAAGGAAGGCAGGCTTGGGGCCCTGTCCAGGCATGGATGGAGGCTTGTCCTGTGTGCGAGTGTAGAGCCCCAGCCTTAGCCGGCTGTCCACAACAAGCCTCTCCAGCCATGGGTGACTCACAGGACCAGAACAAACAAACAATCGCCCAAAGCCCAGCTGAGACCCAGCTTTGTGCTGGGAAACCGCCCCTGACACATTTTCCTGAAATCAGAAACTGGATGCTGTTATTTTTATTCCCCTCCCCGTTTTGGGGGACCAATCAGATTGCAAAGCCCTTAGAGATGTCGCCTTTGAATTGCTACACCCTGGAGACTGGGTTGAATGGCTCCCTGTCCAGGGAGACCCTGCCTCCTATCATACCTCTAAGGTACTTCCCTGAAGTGTGGCTTGGTAGTGAGACAGCAGGACCACCCAGATCTGTCCAGGAAGCCAGCCCTGTGCGACCCTGCCACATCCCAGGCAGTCAGTCCCATGTGTGTCCCGGGCACACACGTCACCTACCCACACTGGTGATCTTCTGGGAGCCGAGGTCCTGCAGTAGGGCCTCAATGGCTGGGTTGTGTCTGGAGTATAGCTCGTATCGGTTAATGCCAATGTGGAATTTGAGCCAGTTGGGGTAGAAATCCACTGCCCCCTCCCCGGTGGGTAGAAATTCTGCACCTTGGGCGCCTTCGTGTGGCCTAGAAGAGAGGGAGATAGGTCAGACTCAAATGGAAAAACAAAACAAAACTCCAAGAAGCTGATATGGATGCCAAGGGTTGGGAGCTGGGGTTCAAAGTGCAGGTTTGTGAAAGGGTTCTGCTCAAAGAGGGGGCCTGCAGAGTTTGCACTTTCCTCCAGGCCTATGCTTCTACCCCCTAATCATAGACCTGAAGGCCTGTAATTCCTATTCATCCTTAAGAGACACCACCAGACAGCAAGCCTAGACGACAGCAAGCCGTCAGCGCTATCTACGTCGAGTCTTCCTGGGGTTACCAAAAGTGCCTGTCAGGTGGGGTGTGTGTGGGGGGGTGATGTCAGCCCTTCCCTGGAGCAGAGGTCAAGAGGATCTCTGAATCAGATAGCCTGAAGTTACAGACATCCTACAGTTTGCCAGCAATCTCTCCAGGTCACTGCTTCTGTTCCAAGAACCAGCTGCAGATACACTGGATTTTAATGAAAGCAGTCTTATGTGAGGAACCAAGAACTGAGGCAGGCCTTTACTCTAGCCTCCAGGCTCAAAGGGAGAACCTGTCAGCCACATGGCCTGTCCTGGCTTCTATGGTCATGGGACAGTCTGACAGTCTCTCTGTCTGCTTGCTGGGCTGGAGGAAAGAGGAACTTGCTTAACAGATTCAACTGGTAGGCGAGGACTTTCTCGCTCAAATTCTGTCCTACCATGGACAGTAGGGCAGGCTGGATACTCCTAAACCCCCCTCCAGGCTGTGTCCTGACCCCTGGACCTGGACTGGACTGGATGTTCCCTAGGCCTACATCCGTTGTTCTGACCTATATTTCTAAGCATTTTCTCAAATCTGGTCAGCAAAGCTCAGAGACTACCAAATGGCTCACAACTGCAGAACCAAAACATAGCCTTCATCTCCCCTTTACCCCCCCATCAGATTTCAGAGGAGAAAGGGTTTTGTGGACGTTTTCAGAATCCTGGCCTTCTCTTCTCTCTGCTGCTGGGCAACCTTTGCAGATAGTTATTTGTTCTGGCCTTGCTGGTAGTTAATATTTCACTGCCCAAGCATCTGCTTATTTGAATCTGGGTGACTGAGAATGAAGGGCCTTGGGGGGTGGGGTATCAAAGCAGGGCTCCTGGAAATACATGTGTGATTTTGTGTTCAATGAGTTCTCAAGACTAATAGGTGCATCCAAGCCTTCTCAAAGTGCTACCCAGAAGAGCTCACAGAGTCTGAAAGCTCATGGTCCAATCCCTGTCCTGGGAAGATGGCTCCTACTCCCTCTTTCCCTAGTTAGCTCTAGGCTCTCCAATGTATGCATTCATTATTGGCTACCCAGGCCAGGGGTAGCCAAGCTCTTCCTTGTCAGAGAAGCACTGGAGCCTGGAGTTGGTGGCTCATGCCTGCAATTTCAACTACTTGAGAGGCTGCGATCTGAAAATGGAAGTTTGAAACCAACCTGGGCAGGAAAGTCCATGAGGCTCTTATCTCCAGCTGACCACCAAAAAGCTAGAAGTAGAGATGTGGCTTTAGAGACAGAGCACCAGCCTTGAGAGGAAAAGCCAAGGGACACTGTCATGCCCCAGTCCTGATACCCAAAAATTCTTTTAAAAATGAGGAGCTCTGAGATCCTGAGGGGTCCAGCCTGCCTCCCACACCAGGGCTCAAATCAGCAGCCCTTCTCCAGCAAGAAGTCACCATCATCAGCACAGTAGACAAAGAGTAGAGGTGCATCTGCCCCGCCCACCGGGTATCTTTAAGGAGAGCCCTTTCCAAGAGGGTCCCCAAACACTCGTACACAATGTCAATGCCCAGGATGCGGAGCAGGTTCTGGGGGAGCACCTTTATATGGAAGGGTGTGCCTGAGCCTTCTAGAGGCTCTACTCCATCCCTGCCCTCCTCCACAAGCCCTGGCTCACCAGTCGGGGTTCTCTGCCTCCTTGGGGTTGAACCTGAGGTCGCTGTTCACATTAAACAGGACGTCGTCCTCCGTCAGGGGTGGGACAGCCCCCAGGTAGAGCGGATGCTCAAACAGCCTGGCCAAGAGCGAGCCTTCCCCGCTGGGGGAAAGGGGCGGCGCGGGCCTCCGGATCCCCGGGTCTCGAAGCAGCGGCCGGTGCGCGGGGTCGCGGGGTCGCGGGGCGCCAGGCTCCTGCCTGCCCCGTGGGGCGCGCTCGGCCGGCTCGGCTGCGGGTGGCAGCTTCTCCAACGAGTGGGACGTGAGATTGGAGGCCGGGTCGGAGCTGAAGTCCTGTAGGATGCGTAGCGTGTGCTTGTTCGGCCAGCCTGCATCGCCGGCGGCCGAGGCGGCAGCCGGAGGCTCCCCAGCCCGGCTTCCCCGTGCTTGGGCCCAGCCGGGTGCCGCTGCCTCGGCCCCGGGCTGCGCGCAGGAGCAGCCGGGCTCCCCGGAGGGCCGCGCGGCGCGCCTCTCTAGCTTGGGCAGCAGGTCCAGCACGATGTGCAGGGCGCAGGCCAGCAGGAAAACCATCAGGATGAGCACGCGGAACCTGCGCACCAGGATCATCTTCATGGCCGGCCGCGCTTTGGGAAAGCGGGGGTCTGGGACTCGGAGAAGCCCCCTCTCCCCGCCGCCGAGAGTTGCGCTCCGCCTTCGTCCCTCAGCTGGAACTCGGCACAAATGCGGCGCCGCCTCGCGGGTCAAGGTCCATCCGAAGCCAGTGCAGCTAAGCTACCAGCTCCCGGATTGTTCCCGGGCAAGGACGACGTGGAGAGACAGGACCCGCCGCCAATGCACCGGTTCTCCGGGCCATCTCGGGGCTGGTCCCTTTTGGTCTCTCGGGAGCGCCCAGCGGCGGGTGGCAAGGGGTGCAGCCGGTATTCATCTGACCCTCAGGGCCGCGATGCAGCTGCCCAGCCCGGCCTGGGACCCGGGGATCCGTTCCACCGCACGGCTCTCCCGCTGGGCCCCGGTAGGCGCAGCGCGCCAGAGCGCGCGGGTGCTTAGCGCACGGCTTGGTTTTGCTCAGGCCGCGCGGTCCCGGAGACCCAGGCCTCGGGGAAGGGGCGGGAGAGTTGCACAGGATGGCGGCAGGGCCGGGCAGGTGCAGCTGCTCGGTCTCAGGGAGCGCAGCCCGCCCGCTTCGACCAAGCTCCCGGCGCCCCGCGCCCGGCCGGCTGATATCCGAGCGGCCCGGAGCCGCCCCCCGCGTCAGCGCCCGCAGATTGGCGGAGTCGCAGCCCCGCGAGGCACGGCTGGGCCCAGCTGCGCGCTCGCTCGGCCGCTTTCTCCTCCCCCTCGGCCGCGCCCAGCGATGCCGCCGCAGCTCCCCGGGGCCACGGAGGAGAGAGAGGCCGCCTTCCTCGGTGAGGCCCGGCTTGGAGAGGAGGCAGCCTGGGCTACGGCAGCTGCCCAGTCCAGCGGGATCTCGGCCTGGCCACCTCTCCGGGACCTCCACCCGCCGCCGAGCCCGAGGCCCGGCGCTGGCTGCAGCCTCCCGGACTCCTCCCAGAAGAGCCGGGGCCGCGCGCAGGCCAAGTCCCTCCCCGGGGCCGCTGGGCGTCTGCGCCGCCGGACGAGCTCCCCGCCGGGCAGCGACCTTGTGCCTGGCGCCTGGGTCTGCGAGGAGGAGGAGGACGAAGGGTCGACGGGGCCGCCACGCCGCAGACAGAGAGGAAGGCGGAGAGCGCGCTGAACCCTGGTCCTCAGCGATGGACGCCTGGATCGCGCCGAGGCCGCCTACTAGCCCGCCCGGCCCGGGCCCACCCCGCCCCGAGGGGCCACGCCTGCGCCTTAACCCCGACGGCGCCGCGCCCAGCCGGGCTCCCCCCCTCGCCCCCCCCCCCCCCGCGCCAACGTGCGGGAGGCGGGCGGTCCTCGCCGGGGCGGGGGTGGGGGCGGGCTGGGTGCGCCTTTCCGCCTTCCCTCGGTGCCAAATCGGGATGCACACCCTGGGAAAGAAACTCAACTTCGACTTCGGGGCCTCCCTGGCTGCCGCAGGGCTTTGGGATCAACAGCACCCCCTCCTCTCCCATAGGGGTTAGGAATCAATATGCGTTTGCGCCCCTAAATCGTAGGAAGGTAAGTGGGGGAGAGGCACAGATCCACCACCAAGTGAGAGGCCTCCGTCCCCCATGCACCTGCAAATTTCCCACGCAGGTCTAGAAGGATCCTGGCTCTGTAGCCTCTCTTAGTGGGAGGGAGGGATGGAGGGTCTGGGGGTGGGGGGGGAGCCCCTTCCTTGTTATGGAGTCTGTGTTAGCTGGGCCTCTTGCTGCTCTCTTTGGGCCAGGTTTTTTGGTTTGTTGTTGTTGTTGCTTCACTTGAATCAGGCACCTTTAGCAACTCTCCCTGTTGATTTCCCACCCAGTCTGTTACCAGACGCCTAGCTTCTAGCTGAGGAGTTCGTCAGGTTGACATGTCGCTTAGGTCATATGAAAAGGGAAAGGGGTCCCCAAATTCAGCCTCCCTGGAGCAGGAGCTGAAGGCTCTATTGGGGAAGGATCTGCCACCCCCCAGGGTGAAGGTGGATGGGACCTGGAAGTGGATCCTTGGGAAGTCACAGGTCAGGGTGGAAGTGTCCTTCCTTCCAGTCACACCGGGTGCATTTATATGCTGGCAGATTCCAGAAGGCCAGGTTAACATTGAGGTGGGGTGTTGTGGCAGGATGAGCAGGGGTAGGACCCCCTCCCTCCCCAGCCTCCAGGTTCTGGAACAGTAGAGATGGCCAGTGTCCTCAAGCAGACACATGAGGCAGCTGGACCTGAGGAATGGGGGTGCTCTAAGGAGGTGGGTCTCTGAGACTTCCTGAAGTCTCAGGGTGTCACCATGTCTCCTGGCCACCACTGGATGGCTCCCTTGTGTAGTTCTAGCCTCTGTGGCTCCCACCCTAAGAAAACTTATGGTAACCAGGCCATGGGGAGCCCCTTCCTCCCTGTCCTACTCCATCTAGTTTTCCTAACCACCTTCACCCGTGTTGGATGACAATGGGTTCTCTTCCTCTCCTCTCATATGTATGCACTCCTTGAGGGAAGGGTCCCCCACAAAGGCCTCCACTTGGCCGGGAGTGGGGGGGGGGGGAGGGATAGTGGGGGTGGCCAGACTCAGAACCAGTGCTCATGAATGGAATCAGGTCAGATACCACCAGACCAAGGTGACACGTGCAATAAAAGCCCCACCCTTCCTGGAGAGTGTCTTGATGTGATTTAGTCCTTTCATGGAAATCACGGGCAGCAGAAACAGAAGAAGATGCAGACACAGACCCGTGTACACACAGGACACACACACACACACACACACACACACGCACACCAAGTCCACACAGACACGAATTAGACCCACCTCCAATATCCAGGGGAAGAAGACAGACACCTGCTGGTGACACCCCGTCAGAGACTGTAGGATGGCTCTGTGGCTTTTGTCACCAAAGCCTAAGTTCCAGTAAACCCTTGTAGAACACATTCAGGGGGGTGACAAGAGTTGGGGACTCAGCAGAGGAATGACACTTCTGCTGTGAGGACTTTGCTACTTTATCTGGGTGGTCAGGGATGACTCAAGAGTGACATTTTAATGAAAACTCTGCATGCTTCTGGGAGCTCCAGAGATGGTTCAGGGGGAGGTATGGGTGTAAAGGCCCTGGCTCAGAACTTGAGAGGCACTCAGGAAGTGTGAGGATAACTGAGAGTCTGGAGATGAATGGGGAGCATTGAATAAGAGGCTAGGGAGCCGTGGGATTAAATTCCTTAACCCCTCCTCAGTCTGCTGGGAGTGGCCCCAAAGCAAACCTGGTAATGAGGCATTTAATATGGACACCTCAGGTCTCATTCAGGGCACTGAGGATGCCCAGTGGGCTGTTGCTTACATCCATAAATATTGTTGTCCAGGAAACATGGATAGAAGACACAGGGAGGTGAGGGGTGAACTGATTGCAGATCCCTGTGCTCTGTCCTGGAGGAGGAACTATGATCAGAAGAGGCCATCGTGTGTGTGTGTGTGTGTGTGTGGGGGGGGGGTGTTGAGCCACAGCTCCCTTTCCAGTTTTCTGATGGTTGATTGAAGATGAGTCTCACAGATTTTCCTGGCCAGGTTGGCTTCGAGCTGTGATCCTCAGATCTCAGCTTCCTGAGTAGCTAGGATTACAGGCGTGAGCTTCCAGTGTCTGGCTAAGTTTGGCCTTCTTGTGTTCATTCTGAAGCTCATGGTGGCTCTTACCCACCTTCTTGGTGTTATTTAGACCCCAGGGGCCACACCAGTGCCCAGCCTTTTTGTTTTTTGGCCATTCCTTTTGAAAGATGTGACTCATCCTGCTGGAGTTTGACTTCTGATTGTTTTCTGTTCTTGCTTTTTCAATTAACCCTTAAAAACAATCTGCCTGTGTGGAGGGTACATCTTTGGAGACATAGTTTGGCCAATTTGGGAATCCATCCAGGACTCCTGTGCCCACATTTGGAGACTTTTGATCTCTGGGACATGAGAGCAAGCAAGAAGCCAGGGAGAGGCAGGGACGGGGCAGGGGCAAGGTGGCCCTTCAGTTCCACAAGGTGGATGGGAAGCTGAACATTGAGCTTGGCCTCGGGGGCTGGTCCAAGTTCTCTGAGGACCCTGAGCTCATTGTCAGCTCCTGTGAAGGTGGGGGTCCCACTCACCAGGCTGAGAAGTGGCCCTTAGGAACAGGAGTGGGAACAAATCATGAAGAAGCAGTGTGGGGCTGATGAGGATGCCCTCCCTGAGGCCTGTAACCAGGAGACCTGGGAAGGAAGGGGGCTTGTGACCTTGGGCAGTTGAGGGGGGGTGGCACGGGCTGGTGATAAGTAGTCAGCTACCCAGTTCTGCCCATTGCTCTTTCTTATTTTCTTTTTTCTTTTTTTCTTTTTTGTTGGTCCTAGGGCTTGAATTCAGGGCGTAGGCCCTATCCCTGAGCTTCTTTGTGCTTTGGAGTAGTGCTCTACCACTTTGAGCCACAGTGCCACTTCCAGTTTTCTGGTGGTTAATTGGAGATGAGTCTCACAGTCTTTCCTGCCTGGGCTGGCTTGGAACTCCGATCCTCAGATCTCAGCCTCCTGAGTAGCTAGGATTACAAGTGTGAGCCACCAGCGCTCAGTTCTACTGCTCCTTCATGTCATGACTGAAGCAGGCGAGACACAGGGTGAGGGCCATGAGCCCTGCATGTGTAAAGCCTCAGCTAGCCCTGGCTACGAGCTGCTGTGACCTCAGTAACAAGATGGACAGGGACACACACACAAAGTAGAAAGAGAGAAAGACAGAAAGAGAGCGGGGGAGAGGGGAGCTTGCATGTGGATGGCTGTATTATACAGGTTGAATGGAAGACAGCTGAACCCAAAGGGTAGAAACCCAAGACAGGAAAGAGACTTGGGGCTGAGATGTTGAGGGTGTGTGGTGGGGAGTGTGGAAGGATCTAAAAGGAAGGCTTCCTGGAGCTACATGTTAAAAAGACAGTGGTTCCTATGCAGAAAGGGGCTCTGCCTATCTTGTCCCCCTAAGCTCAGCTTTCCTGCCTCAGTGGCTGAGGAACATTCCAGAAGGGCCCAGCACTTCCTTCCTGGGTGTGAGACTCAAAGCAGTGTGGTTGAAAGCCCCTGTGCTCTGCCACCCCAGCCAGGCCTAGAGCTGTTCGGCCTGGGAGGCCGGGCTGGGTGGAGAAGGGCACCCCTAGCTCTGGCTGGCCTCTGTCCTCTCCTGTCCGGATCCTGTGGTATTTTTTTCTGAGGTTTCCTCACCCACGAGCCCCAGGAGGCTCCAGAGCTGCTGACCACAGGCCAGCTCTGGCCACAGACTATTCTGGGAGCTGGGAGTGGGCAGCCGGCTGCGGCGGGTAGGGCTGGGGCCCAGGTGGCAGCAGGGAGAGCGGCATGGTGTCACCTCTGCCTAGTGCCAGATGTGGTCTCGTGTACATTAGTGTCCCTGTGGCTTTACCCTGGGGGCTGGGGGACAAGACAGTGACTCCCCGCACCCGAACTCTTATCTGGCCTGGCTGTTGAGATTCACTCTGCAAACCAGATACCAGCACACATGGGAAAGAAAGCTGACGTGTGTATATATATATATGTGTGTGTATACGTATATATACATACAGATTATATATGTGTGTGTGTGTATATATATATATATGTATGTATATGTATATATCCAG